AGACAGGAGGAAAGAGAAAAGATAGAACTAGGAGATAAGAACCTTTAGTAAACAAGCCTTTAGCCTCAGGGGTGAGAAAAACCTTCGGTAAAACAGCAAAGTTTGGGAATAGGTTGCAAGAGTTTATTAAGTTAGGGAAGAGAACTTCTAACTGCCTTCCCCTAATACCTTCGCCCAATGCCAGCAGGAAGCAGCTTTTGAGAGACCAACGCCCCGATTCCCTTTTTGGCAGTTAAGAGTTCTGTTTAAAAAGAAAAGAATTGAGGTAGATTGAGGCTGGTGAAGAAATAATGGAAGTAAAGGTTTGTAAAACAACTAAGACTCCAGAGTAAAAAGAAACAGCTAAAGAGCTCCTGTCTCTTTAAGGCAGCCAAAGGTTCTAAGAATTGAAAAGGAAAGATTGTAAAAAGTAAAAGGCCAAAGAAAAAAAGCCAGTAGAGAAAAATCATGGCAAATGAGATACAGCAGTTGAAATACAGTTGAGACATCAGATGAATCTTATAGTAGATGCAGGTAAATGCTATATTGACAGGACAACTCAAATTGGGCAGCTGGAAGAGTGGAGGGTAAATCCCCCAGTTAACATCAAATGCCATGAATGTGGGAAGCTAGGCCGTAAGAGAGAAGAGTTGAAAAGGGAAAAGAACGTTGAATGCTAAAGAAAAGGAACAAAGAGCATGTAACTTCCAAGTGTATGTCCCAAGTGTAAAAAAGCTTTCATTGGGCCAAACAAATGCCATTATTAATTTGATAGAGGTGGAACACCTGTATAGTAGGGAAATTATCAGTTGGGCCAGAATCAGAACCCACTGGTAAATGAAAGAAAACAGTTTAATATTTTCATTTCAAACCATTCTCAGAAAATAGTATGATTCAATTCTATGCCATAGGAGCACTCTGTCAGCTTGGTTAGACCTGTGATGCTTCAGTGTAAAGCTGGGGAAATTAAACCAGATCAATGGATGACAATGGAGAATGATTAGATTGAATATGTTTGTGGAATATTAGGTTATCCTGCGTGGTGAAGGGGTAACCGACCTCCTATCAGCGTCTGTGTGCTATAACCGGGTCCAGCTTGAGCCTCCTGTCTCAAAAAAAAAAAAGACCTTTAAGGGAATTAACATCACAATCACTTTCCTCTAGAAGTGGCTAATAGTTTAAATCTGTATTGGGCTTCCTCACTTAAAGAGCCCATACCTGGAATTCTGAACTCTGATAATTAACATCTTTTGCCTAGAAAGAAAAGGGCTAGATAACAGGAAGAACCGCCCTTACCACATTAAAAGTTACTTTGTTTGTATATAAAAAAGGGGAGAAATGTAGCAGCCTGTATAGCCTATGGCTAGGAGAAGTGAGAGTTATAAGAAATACCTGTAATGGAACACCTTGGTGAAAAGGGCGTGGAGAGAGATTTGGTTCTAACAAGCATGAGAGAGCTCCTGAGATGAGAGCATTGGTGAATTGGCAGTCTCTACACCTGTGGTGTTGAGAAGCACGAGCTCAGCCTTATATAGGCTGGAGGACAAGGCAGTCAAAAAGCATGTGCATTCTATCACGGATCCCCTTACTCTGACTCTGTCTCCTCTCCTGCCTGCAGAACGCCAGCACGG